CCATAAGTATATATTCTTAGCATTTTTATTAGGTACTAACATTCACATATTCAGTTCCTTCTGAGTAATTAGTACAGTCTACATTAGCTGTATTTATTAGAATTGCAAATCTATTACCGATAGTTATTTTACCTCTTTTGTTATTTCCAGGAGCATTTGGGTTAAAATATTGATAATTTGTTACAGCACATTGACCGTTCATTCTCATTTTGTTATTACAGCTTTTCAAACTATCTATGGTTACACCTTCTGTAGCACTATAAAATCTGTTTAACTGGCAACCATCGATTCTATTATCTGGATTTGGAACACAAGTCACGGTAATATCAACATCGTTAATTATAATGTTTGATGAGTAAGGAGGAAATTCATCTCTTTCCCATTTTTTAGATGTAGTTATGCCATAATCAGCGTTTGCTTCTGATTTTGAACATATAGGTATTCTTCCTATTGTTGTTTTTCTATCAGTGCCTTTACCTCTAGTTAATATTAAATATTTGTTGTTACGGAAATAAGCTGTATTAGCATAATTGTTAGAAATAAATTTTAATGCGTTACAAGCAACACCTGGTGATTTTCCTCCAACGTTTACTACATATACAGGAATCCTATCACCTTTGATCCATTTGTTATCTCTAAAAACATAATCGTTAATTGTAGGAGGTTCACCATTTTTGTATTTACCATCAGCTCCGATTTCAATCATATGCATCTTTAACATATTTTTACAGTCAATATTATTTCCACACATGTTGTCTATAGAAACTGCCTTGTTTTTGTTTGTTTCAGGATTTTGGGGTTTAATATTTTGATCATCATCTTCATTATCCAGATCATAAATTTCTGATGGATCTTGAGTAGGACAAGCTGAAGTTGTTGATTCAGTAGCTGTATCTGTCCAACTAGTAGTTTTAGTTGCTGTTTTAGTTGTTACAGTTTGACCATTTTTATCATCTTTTTTGAGTTCACTAGATAATTCACTTACAACAGCTGGTTCTATTAATGCATTTGCAGCAATTATCTTTAATGATGCAGCAATTGTTAAACCTGTTCCTAATACACCTACAGCTCCTGCACTTGGTCCTAATATATCTTGAGCTGATTTCTTGTTGTCTAAATCTTTTCCTTTAACAGCTCCTCTTTTAACATTATTACTGTCAGTAAAAATTCTGTTTTTGTTTTTTGCTGCATCATCATAAGCTTTTAATGTATTTAGCATATTCATATAGTATTTTTCTCTATAGCCATCATCATTTACTAATTTTGTGAGCCAATCATGTAAATCACCTTTATCAGTAATAGAACCACCCCAATGAAACTCTCTCTTATTACCGTCAGTATCCTTTCCATTTATTAAACTTTTTAAATCTCGTACATATGATTGAGCATCTTCACTAAAGAAAACTGTTTTAATAGTAGGTGTGACTAAAACCATTAATCTTGAATAATCGTTAGATCTATCTTTTCTTCTTTGTTCATCTTCTAAAGATTCAGAGGAAGTTAAAGGACCAGCAGCTGCATTAGTTGATTTATAGTCATTCCATATTTTTGACCAAAATTTATTAAAATTATTGAAATCATCAATATAATCTTGTTGTACATTTTGTTTAACTAAATCACTATTCAGACCCATAATTTTGTTTATATGCATATAAACAGAATATGCACCAATAAAATTATAATCATCATCGAAAATACCTCTATTCATTAAATTATCATCGTTATGTAATACATCTATCATTTTTTTAGCGCTAGGTGCAGCTAAAGTTCTAAAACCAGAAGTATCACCATCGCATTGATAAACAACATTTTCAATATCTTGATCTAAATAAATGTGACAATCTGAAGGTACATCGTTTGTATAAGCAGTATGTTTAAAATAGTTTCCGACCCATAAAACTGAACCTTTCAAACCTGCATGATTAAAGTAATTTTTCAAATTATTTCTGTTTGTGGCCCAAGCTACTACGCTATTTCCATCATATTGCATGAAAGTACATTCAGAAGGTCCATCATTCCATCTATTATTTTTAGCAGAAGATGCGTCAATATCTATAATTTCAGCATCAGCTAAAACACCAGGAGTATTTGTTATACCTCTTGAGTTACCAGGGCCGGAAAATTGGCATCCCACACCATTACAAGAAGGGTTTGATAATTTAAAGGATCTACCATAGTTAGCTAATCCACCATAAGTTTTACCTATTTGAGCTCCAGCTTTATCTAACATTTTTAATGCATCTACAATTTCAGTTTTGTTTACATGGCATTTAACTTGAGGGTCTCTGTTTAAATCCCAAGAACCATGGAGGTCATATGTCATATAAACTTGATAATCAATATAATTTTGCATATCTTTTAATGGATAATTTTTTAAGTACCAGTATGAAGAAGGTATAGCAATAGATAATGTAGTACCAGCTGGTTTCTTGGTAT